CTTTGCCCGATACCTTGTCTTTGTTTAGCATTATAGATTCATCAGCTTGTGAGGCTTGTGAAGCTAGATACCGGTTTCACTAACCTTTGTCTCTGGTTTGCTTAGCACAGATTCACGTCAGAATGGCTGCTTAGTATACACTGATAGATTGAGTTCACCTGACTTCACCCTGCTTTCCTGGCACCCAGATGTAGCAAACTGATTTTTTATGGGCTGTTTATTCCAAAGACATGTTTTGTTGGGCATACACTCTGTTTAAAAAAATTTAAATTCACAGCGAGCATCTGCCCTTTATGGAAATGTTCACAAAATTCTATATTTCTGGCTCCTCGTAAGTATTGGAGTATCTGCCAATTGTAGGACCAGATTCCTGCAGGGAGGAGCTAAATCGTGCCATCTGTTTTGCATAGGGCATGTTCTGTGTTTGCCAACTGGCACGCTTCAAATTCCTGGAACTCCCGAGAACTCCGAATTTGGAATCTCTAGAATAACCTCATTGAAGGCAGCTTAGTTATGGAACCATTAACGTGTGCCTAAGGTGTACCACCTGAGATGTATGAATTTATGAAAGTTGTAATATAAGCCTTGCGAGGCATCTGGGGAAATACATTTTTGTAATATGCTCTTAAAAAACACATGGCATGATTTGGGGTTCCTTGAAGAGAGAATTTAAGGTTCCTTTGGAGACCACTTCACCAGATGGCCAGTGTCTCAAGGTCCACACACAGCATTTTCAGGTGTGGAAACCGGTCATGATTTTATGCCGCTTCTCTCCGAAGCCTATGCATTTCAAGCAGCAACAACTCCAGAGAACCTGTTAGAAATGCTGATTCCTGCCCCACAGAATCAGAAACTCTCAGCAATCAGTTTTGATAAGCCTTCCAGGTGATTCTGAACCACTGTCTTAAGAAGATGAAATATATCACAGTAATAAATAAAATTTAGTTTCGTCTTAAAAGTTTGATTTTTTTCCCCCCTGAAATTTTCTAGTAGTACTGATCAGGTGTACAAACTGAGAATGATCTATATTCTGAACCATGAACCTTGTGAGGGACTCCTAATGGTGATTTTTGTACACCCTCTCACACTGAGTGAGAGAAAGAGCTCTGGAGTTTTCTTGTTCTGTCCTGCTAGCTTTGTAACGTTCGTGGTCGGCCTTCTCTGGCCAGTGGCTTCTATTCTACTGTAAATACAGAGCGCTCACGATTGCAGTCTTCGCCAGGACTGCTGGTCTAGAATTCCTTCTGTGTCCTGTCACACTGGAACCCTCTGCATTGTTCAGTGTTTTGGAATATGCTAGAATTTAGCAAGTGGCCAATGAACATGGGCTCCTGCCAGTGCTGCTTTTGCAATGATCATAGCGGCATAGCTGTGCTCACTTAAGAGGGTCTCTGTACTCTGGTTTCAAGATAAAAATGTAAACGATTGGGTGGCTTGTGGCTCCAGGTTGTGATTTTAATGACTTGCACAACAAGCAACCATCCTGAGGTCTTACTATTCTCTCTGTAACACCTTACCCCTTTTATATAAGACTTTGTTTATTTGATTTTGCCAGTTTCGGACTTAACTCTGCGATTGTATGTAGTGTCTGCTCTGGGCTGCTCATGTAAAGTAAAAGAAAATGTAGCTCGCTGAGAGCCAGACGTGATGTTCTAAACGGTGTGTCCTGAAGGTCCTGGCCAGCAAACCTGATGACCCCTCCTCCCTGACCCCCCAAGGCCAGAGTAAGAGGAGGCAGCGGTCGAAGTGTCTGGAGTTTTCTCTTTCTGATGTGCTAGCTATGTAAAGTTCATGGCAGAGTTTGATAAAAGTCTTAGGGTAGCATTTGATTAAAAAATACCTTCTGAGTAAAAATAACAATACATAATATATTAAGGTTTTGAGAGGTTGGCAGGGGGGGAGAAGAAGGGGGCAAAAAGGAACTGATATCAAAGGGTTCAAGAAAGATAATGTTTAGAGACCCCAATAAAATGAACACATCCATAAAGTAGTAGTCTTATTGTCTCCAAACCCTGCCATCTTTCTCTGCCTGGGGAAGGTCTCTGAAAGGCCCGACAGATGTGCTAAATGTGCCTTTGAAGATACTTTTAGTCATTGGTGCCTCCACTGGCTAGCATGTCTTTTTTTTAAAAACAATATTTTGGTAGAGCGCTTTGATATGCAGTATAGACTTATTTTCTTTTTTAAAGGTGGGAGAAGGCATTTAATATTTGAAAGGGAAAATCATTGAAGAGTTTTTGTATGTCAGTCCCCAATGACATAAAAACATTAGCCAACCAACCGACAAAACATTTTGCTTTTCGTGAATTTTTTCGTTCCAATACCAGAATATCTCCTCTGATGAACATGCCAACTCATTGCTGTAAAACGGTTGGGTATCAGAATTACCTGTGAGCCTGTGACTGGGATGCCTGATTTATAGGGAGGGACCTTAGGGTAAGGCCTATAAGATACTGGATTTTTCTCCATTATGATTTGCTTGACTTATGAGTGCTCAACTCTCTGTGATCCAGTCTAGGAGTGACAGGCTACACTTCATTTGTCTTGCTGCTAGTGCCTAATTAAGAAAATATTTGTCTTGCTGTTATTGCCTAATTAAGAAAACATTTGAATTCCAAAAACACTGAAGCAGGGTAACTCCTATGAGCTTTAACATCTTTCCTAAATTCAGGCAAGACACTCTTCTTAAGAAAATAAATCAGTAAATATATAAAATCAATTACGTTTGCTTCCTGTAGGCAGCTTTCCATAGGAATATTTTAAAGGTAAAATTTCTAGGTAGGTTTTTGTGAAGAATATGCTTTATCTGATTTTGTAATTTCTGAAAGCTGGTAATAATTGAAAAGATTGTTCTATAAGCCTAAAAATGTTAATTTGTGGCATATTTACTTAAAATAATCTATATCAATATAAAGGAGGAATAGAGTGAGAAGAAAATCTCCCTCAGAATTCTGTGCTCTGATTTCCTAGTTTCTGCCCCAGGATGACTTCCAGGCCAGTTCCTCCTGTGTTAGAATGTGAGGGAGCGAAAATAAAACACAACAGAACAGAAGCATATACAAAAAGACCCCAAAGGAACCCCAAGACGCCGAGCCTGAGAGATGGTAGTGCAGTGCTCTGACTCTCTCACTCCTGGAGGGTGGATTAACGAGTTCTACATGAAATGGGATCCGGTTTTAATTTTTTTAATGGAGCTTAAGTTTCTAGTAGAAAAGAGCAACAAAACAGATGAACAAACTTGAGGTTAGATTGTTGATATTTTCTTTCCCACAGGATTTGGAGAACCGGGTGATGTAAACGGTGAGGGGTTTGGGAGGCCAAAGAGCTGTTGAGTCCTTTGATGTTCAAGCCCAACATGATTGTTACTCAGAAGAGGTCTTTGTAAGGCAGGCGTTAGAAATTTAGGATTCTGAGATCAAAAAAGGACCTTCGATCTTAATCAAACAACTTATTGACGGAGAATAATATGTGCTGAAATCAAACACATTGGCAAACATTCCACTAATGATCTAAAACAGAAAAGTGGAAATGCCCTGGCAGTCAATAGTTACAAACTGTGAAAGAAGAGAGGAGTATGACAACATGTCTACATGACTCTCGCACATGGACTTGACTGAGCTGAATTGAATGAATGTTAGTTGCTGTAGAATACATTCTGACTGGGAGTATTTTGGTTAGCAAATAAGGATATTAGTATTCAGAGATCCTCTGAAGTAAAGACAGTTTTTTTTTTTTTAATTTAGTTTTAAAGGAAACCCTATGCCTCCTTCAGAGGATGCAGTTTTCACAGAGATACACGCCTGACTTGGAGAGAAGAGGGTTTTCAGACTGCGGGAATATACATAGCTAAGTGTCCCGTTAGCATCGGTTTTCTGAATTGGAAGCATTTCTCTTCCATGCAGGAGATTTCAGGATAAAGAAAACAATATCGTCAAGTCTTATTTATACTTTAGAGAGCATCTAGAAGCACTGATTCTCTGAGTTGTGGTCAATGCAAAGATAAAGAGCAATGTTTATAGTCAATGTGTGTGAACTCATGCGCCTAATTGTGTCAAACTATCACAGATATTATGAAATGTGAGTCACTTGGGCAGCCTTCATTGCGTTCCATCAGTGTTCTTATGATTTTTGGTACTTTTGATTAATAATTTGATTTCATTTTAATAGATCTTTTTATTTGTATGCTTCTAAAAACATTCCTTAGCAATGTATACAAAATACCATGTTGCTTATTTTGGATTTTGTTACATACTGAAGCATGCAGCCTATTGCTTGGCATACAGCAGGTGCTTAATGTTTGAATTTGTGAATTAATGAGGATACTATATTTAAAAAAAATGTTTACTAATGTAATCCTTTTTGGTGGTCCATCTTTTCCCATTAGCCATTTATTTTCAGATATTAAAAGGGATTATTATAGAACATTCTAATCTTGATACCCTAGTTAATAGGGGCACTTAAAGGGGTTGCTGTGTTTTTGTGATAATTGTGTAATATGAAAAGTATAAAGACTTGTCTAGAAGTGGAATGGAGAATACAAAAGGATGAATAGACTTTTCATCTGAGGTCAAGTCAGCCAAAAGATTAAATCTTCAAGAACTTTCATTCATTTAATTATGTCGCGTTGTGTCAGCCTCTTCTCTGGAAGATATGTGTTTGTTATGTTGTTAGTACTTAGCATCACGTCATGAAGTGGCTGCAGGAAGCCTGGGCTCGTAACCCTTTACCTCCAGATGCCAGACTTACACGCCCTAGAATTAAGGTGGAAAGTTAAGATTCATTGATTGTGATGTTACGCGATAAAGATTCTGTATATTTTATGATTGTCTTTGTGCTTATACTAACACTTTCTCTCCCCTCTGTCTAGTCATACAGCTTATCAAGAAAGAAAATAGTGCACTACACCAGTTTTGATCAAAGGAAAAGAGCAAATGCAGCATTTTTGATGGGGGCTTATGCTGTAAGTACTTTGTTTCATGATTCATTAATATAATTGAGGCAATGGGATGCTAACACTGTTGAATAAAATTCAGGTGTGGAGTAAATTTGCAGAAAGCCATTAGATTTTGGTCCTCAGTTACTTTGAGAGCCTTAACAATGCCCGAGGATAATGAATGGAGATTAACCAGACCAACTGAGACCATCAGCCTCAGAAGGCACGACGTGATCTATGAGGACCAAGTGGTGAGGAAGATGAGTCCAGAAGACAGACTCACTGGAGTCCCGGTGCTGACTGAACCGTCATGCGGCATGATGTAATTTATCATGGTGATGTGGTGGGGCCGGAAAAAGGGTTCTGAGGCTCAACTGGAACTTCCTGCTTGGTGACCATACCTGGTACCACATCCCCCTTTGGGACTTGGAAACTGCTGTCTGATCTGCTCCAGACCTTACCTTTTGCTTCTCTTCACGTCTATCCTTTTTGCTTGTATCAGATCTGTAGTCTGTAGGATACGCTCTGTAAATTCTCTTGTTCCAATGAGCTAATGAACGCACAGCGCCGGGGAGAGGCACCTGCCTGGTTAGTATTTTGAAGGAAGGTTTCCTTCTACTGGATGAGCTCTGAGTCAGCACAGGGTGCTTTCTGAGGCTTAGAAAGAGTACTGCTTGAGCAACTGGTGATGAAGATGGAGAAGTGGGGCAGTGAGGACTAGAACCATTTCCTTACTTTGGGAGTCAGATTCCTGTTGATCCCTGTCATACATTTAGCAGTGAAGATAGGGTTTGGCCGCTGTGCACCCTTGCTTAGGCCAGATCAGAGGGAGGAGAGGAGAATGAGAGAAGAACACAGGGTGAATTATCATGGAATTGTGAGCTGCCGGAGGATTTTCACCGTAGTGTGATCGCAGCAGGGAGACTATGAAATACTTTTGGCAGGGAAGTGAAGTGGGATCCATTTATGAAATGTTTGATTATGATGACAGAGGTGGTTATCTTTCGCACTTTTTTTGAAATACACGAATAAATGGCCAGTTGAGTATGTGTTTATTATAGCTCCCCTTAAGATCTAGACAAGGCTTTCAAAGTAACTTTAATTAGAAATTTTCTTCTCTGCAAATGTGAGTTCTGCAGAATGTGCTTTGGCGTTTTGGAGTGGCTAAGTCTGGAATTTTCTCTATATAGTGGGATTGGTCAGAACTTTGGAAGGTAGCACTGAAGGGTGCTAAAAGATACTTCCCATTTGTCATGGCTTTTCTAGGCTGGCATGCGTGTGCTAGCCATTTCAGAGCATGCTGGTGTGAAATCTGGGAGAAGAGAGTTGTTGCTTGCCCCCTTCTTCAGGGAGGGGAGTCCCGTGATGCTCAGAAACCTGAAAGCACCCTGCTGTGTGACCTTTCAGGGGCTCCCTTCTGAGTGCCAGCTACCAGACATCAAACTGCCACATCAAACTTAAAGCTCCATGGGAAAAACACCAACTGTGTGATTGGAAAGACTGTCAGCTGTTGCCGGTGTAGGCTGAGAACAATGGCTTGCTGATGGCCAGGCTGTGGGTCAGGAGATTGCGTTCAGGACTGAGATGCCCAACCTGCCTGCCTTTCCTCCTCCTCTTGTGGCTATACACGGCCCTGGACCAGCCCGTGCGGCACCTTTTCTCTCTTTCTTGACAGACAGCAGAGCTTAGTAGAAAGAGTAGTGACTCGAGTCAGAAAAACATGAGCTTTTTCAGTCCTCAAGTGTCTGGTGATGGTAACTGCTTTCAGCTTCTCTTGAATTCCCTTATCTGTAAATTGAGAGAGTTGGATGTGATGACCTCTTAGGTTTCCTTCGAATTCATAGGATCCCCGGATGATTTGTAGTGCCAGTCAGACTCTGGCTTTTGTTCTCAGGGCATATGTTTAAAGCTGGCTGTTGGCATGTGGCATCAGTAAAGTGCTGGTAAGCGGAATTAAACAGGCACGTGTCTTTTGCAACATTACATTGATACACTACCACTCCTTTGGAACTATTGGCACCGGGCTTAAAAAAATGTAGAGCCTGTAGTAATCTATGGACTCAAGCCACATAGCACCCGTATCTTTCCTGAGCAGTTTTCTTTGATAACTGTGTTGTTTGTGGCTCCTTGTTCAGATTGCCACCAAGAAGAAGCTGCCCACCCTTTCCCTACTCTCTCTCCTTTCCTGTGTGACACTCATCCTCCCCGGTTTGCTTAGTGTAGTGATGGCAGGTACGTTAAGTTTGTGGTAAGGTAGCGTCTGATAAAACAAGTCTTCCGTTCGGAAGTCTTCCAATTCCTGTGTGACACTCATCCTCCCCGGTTTGCTTAGTGTAGTGATGATAGGTATGTTAAGTTTGTGATAACGTAGCGTCTGATAAGACAAGTCTTCTAATTCGGATGTGTCCGCCACTTTAAAGGAATCACGGGGAAACCAGACCTGGTGTGGCAGAGGAACTGCTGAGGACAGCACGGCCTTGTCTTACTTGCCAGCTACAGTCCCGAGGAACAGTGTAATAGGATGATCCCTGTAGTTATCATTTCCCGATTGATTTTCTTTTCTAATTTTGGAAATGCATTCCTCAGGAAGCTTTTTGACAAAAACCCTTAATAAAAATGAAATCTAAGAGTTGAAAATTTCCCCCAAAGTGAATTTTGTGCCATACTTCCTATCGTTGGGATGCATTTGATTGTTGGTACGGTCTTCTAAGAAGGTAGTCAAGAATGGCCAATATATGCAAATATCAATTAAATTGTGCATATATTTAGTGTTGCTGTTTGGTACAGCTCAGTCTTTTGGTGGAATCATCTCGGCTCCAAAGGCCTTTATCTCCGGCATAGCCATATAGCGCCGGAGAATCATGCTGTAGAGATGTGTTCTTTTCCAAGACAAGTCCCTAATGGCAAAATGTTCTTCTTTTTAATGTAGATTGAATTTTCTTGCAAAGAACACTGACTAATATTGCAAATTTTGAACTAAGAGTAGACTATTTCTCTGAGTCTTAGCTTCCTCATTTGTAAACTTCTCAGGCAGCCCTGCAGGATTATTATAAAGATGAAATATCCAACTACTGTTTTGGGAGCTCCACGTAAATATCTAAGTGATATCTCAAGTTTAGTGTAGCAAACAACTGTTTATTCTTTGCTTTTGCAAAGCAGTTTCTCTCTTGAGTTTCCCCCTTTGAAGTAAACAGAACCGACACTGAGCAACTTGCTCTATCAGATGGCCGTTCAGTGCGTCCTCTGATCCCCATCATCCCACAGTCTAGGCATCAGCAAGTTTGGTCAGCTCTACCTTTAGGACAACATCTGAATACCTCTTTCCATCTCTGTTGCTATCACCTCAGTCCAAGCCACTGTCAGCGCTCACCAGAACTATGATTGTAATTTCATACAATGTCCCTTTTTACATTCTTTCTTCCCTTCAATCCGGTTGCCACATAATTGTAGGGTAATTTATAAAACTATTAATTAGATCATGTCTTTACCCAGTTAAGTATCTGTTTTTGGTATAAGATTCAACCTCTACAGCGATATCATTGAGGTCCTTTCTGGTCTGACCCTGGCAACCTCTGTCATCCCTCTGTTTCCTTCTAACCATGGAAACCCTAAACTTATTCCACAAGCCCCTTAATCCCGAGTAGGGGAAGGCTGAAGTGAAGGGGTGCCTTAGGTGAAATACCAGTGTGCCTGGGCTGCGCTGAGCAGCAGCTATTTACAAGCTAGTGTGGCGCTGTTATCAGTGTTTGAACCCTGGGTGTCATGTTAGAACTGTCCCTGATATATCATAGGTGCCCCATCAATATCTATTTAATGAATGATGGAGTGGAAAAAAAAAGTAAAGGAAGCCTGCTCATATATGGGGAAGCTATAAATAAAAGTGGAGTGCCCTCCTCATTATCAGAATATTACTGGTAGTTCCCGAGCCACCTGTGTTCTTTAGAGAAGCAGAGATCTTAGACCGAGGCCAGGACCTGCTGTATGAACGCAAATCCCTGCTGTGCTTGTGGTGTGACACCTGGTGCCGTAGGAGTGTTCCTCCTGACACCTGGTGCCGAAGGAGTGTTCCTCCAGGGAGTCAGCACTTCCCTGGTTTCTTCACCAGGCTGGGCTTCCAGTAAGTCACGGGAATGTTTGTGTCTCTACTGTCTTATCATTGAACAGGCAGGAGTCTCTTTTTACACTGTATTTTTTTTAGCGATTTCAAAAATTAAATCCTTTTATTGTGGGGCGCTTACAGCTCTTATCACAATCTATACATTCATCTGTTGTGTCAAGCACATTTGTACATATGTTATCATTGTGTGCATAGGCAGGCTTTAGGGATAAAGGTGTGAGCAGTAATAACAGTGGAAGAAAATGAGTGGAAGGTCCGAGAATCCTCATGAGATAACCACACCCACAAAGAGGCATCATCAGGTTATGACCTGATTGACAGGCTAAACTCCACCCCTTCACTTTATCAAGTTGACATGAAATTCTGTAACTACCACAGGCAGCGATGAGCAATGAGGTCTGAAGAGTAATGCTCACTGGGATGGTTAAAGTTATGAGCCAGTTTGCCTGGGCCGTGAATTACAGTGGTTAGTAGCTGTTTTAATAATGTAATTTGGCAGTTACGAAGTGAGAGTGTCATCATCCATTTTGTGATCTGATATGGTCATCTTCCATTTTCACATATTTCTCATAGAGACTTGGTGTTTGGAATGTAACCATGCCAGTAAGTGAAGAGAGGCTACATAGACCATCGTAGGCAGTGGGAAATCCCGGAGTGGATTGTTTTGTCAATTGAGACCATGCAGCTTTCAGAGATCCTTATAGATAACAGGCACCCATTTCAGACAAGTTCAAAGTGGTGAAGCATTGTTTCACTAGTTAAGCTGTAACATACGGTTCTTGAGACGGAAGACTTGGATTTGAAGAAGAAATACATTTTACCAGAAAGATGTTTCTTTTCCAGCCTAGTCCGCAGGGAGATGTGAGTTCCCAAAGTGGATGGTACCACCCCCTGGAGAGCATGGCAGTGA